CCATAAGTGACCTTGTTCAAATTGTGTGACTTTTGATGGGTCATTGATCTTCTCTGGGTTCGTGTTTCCTCACTGGCAAACATTGGAGTTAAGCTAAAGAATAACAATAATAGCTCTATGTATCTGTGCAGTGATTCAATGACTTCTAAAGTGACTCCTCATTAGATTACATTGTTCTCTCTCTCTCTCTCTCTCTCTCTCTCTCTCTCTCTCTCTCTCTCTCTATATATATATATATATATATATATATATATATATATATATCTTTACAGTTCCTCTCAGTTATAAAATTCTATGACTATCAATAGCTCATCAAATCATTTCCTTACCCAGAAATCCCAACCACCAACCTTTTGCTTTTTCAAAAGGCTATGACTTCTATAGTCTGTCCATCCATCCATCCATCCATCCATCCATCCATTCATCCCTTCATCCATCTAACAAGCATTTATTGCATGTTATGCAATGTGCTAAAAGGCATGGTTCCTACCCTCAAGAATATACCACTTTAATGGAGGAGACAGACATTGATGCCATTGATTAAATAAGCCCATGAATACACATATAATTACAACCTTGACAAAGCTATAGAGCAGCAGTTCTCAACCTTGCACAGGGGTCGCCTAAGATCATCAGGAAAGACATATTTTCGATGGTCTTAGGAACTGAGACACCGCTCCTCTATCCATCTCCAGGCCCACATGCAGATATGCCCATATACGAGTACCCGGCGACCCCTGTGAAAGGGTCGTTCAACCCACAAAGGGGTCGCAACCCACAGGTTGAGAACTGCTGCTATAGAGGATAAGTACAGATGCCTTAATAGCATACAATAGGGAGGAGGTCTGACCCAGGATAGCTGGCAAGGGGAGTTCTCTCCAAAGAGGAGGAACTCAAACTGAAAGCTGATGGATTAGTGGGAATCATGCGGAACAAGGGGCTAGACAAGGGACCTCCAGACATGGGAATGGCGGGAGTGTGTTGGATGCACTTTGTGGCTACCTCATGATAATGTGCCAGAGGGTTTCTTAGTCAACTTTTCCAAAACCCTTGGTGAAGAAAATCATAGTTATTACCCCTATTGACAGATGCTCAGAAACATGAAAAGCAAAAATCCTAAGTTATATCCCAAAGAAAGTGCCTGCTGAACTCAGATTTCACCATTTCTCATCTTGCCAAGTCTTCCTGTGCAGCACCTCTCACTCACTTTAACTTACAACTCAAGGGAGCCACTCAACTTCCCTGGGTCTTGGTTTTCTCATTTATCAAACATGAGACTTAGGTTACATATACGATTTCTAAGGCCACTCTCGTGTTTGACAGTATATGTTTCTAGAAATATACCTGAATTAGTGGAGAGGGGACAGAGAGTCCATGAGTCCTTGAAAACCATATTTAAAAAACAAAAATCAGCATGCATTCATAGTACAAGAAAGTGTTGCAGGAATTGTAGCTATTGAAATGCAGGTTGCATCGAGCCAAAAATAGCTAATGCATCCAATGCAAGGGAACTGCAATGAAGCGTTTCCTTGGTGATTGAGTTACTTAAAGGTAAAGTAACTCATTTTGATGAAAAGAGTTGTTTTTCTGCTTCTCATCCTCTCTAAGTGTTCTTCAACTGTAACTCAGTGTAAAGCAAAACATAGTTGACAAATCCATAAAAACCAAAGTTTATCCAAAAATATCAAGGAAAGGGCAAAACAAGCAGATACTCTAATGGGAGAGGCAAGCTCAGCCCCCATGTGCCTCCGACTGCCCTGCACATGCCTTAGGATCACTTCCATCTTAAACTGGTTCCTGTGGATCTCTCAAGCTCTTAAATCATTTGGGGCAAGTGACACCAGAATTTACAGGAACCTGTCATGTGTCAGTCTGAATGCAAAACCTTGGCTTTCAAACCAGTTAGCTCCTTCTAGAGAAGGAAAAAGGACAATAGCTGCTATTTCTTAGCATGCATAATCAATGCTGCAGGAGTTGCTAGGCAACGGGCAGAAAGACTATCAAACATCTCTGGGTGCCTCCAATGGAAGAAGAGCAGCCCTGGCAGCCACTCCTCAGAGGTGACAGGCTATGCAGGAACTGGAAGACACATTCAATTTGTTTCAATCCTTATAAAAAAAAAATCCCTTTATTCTGGTTAGGACTTAACCATAGACATTTTCCTTCCAGGTTCCTGAAATAGTCTTTGAATATACTTCCAATCAGCCCACAGCTGTAGAAAAGAGCAGGTCAGGCTGGCAAGAGGTAGCTCCATGAAAGGTTCATGTGTTATTCTGATCCAGTTCACCCTGGAGTCCGTGGCAGATCTGACTTGTTTTGTTCCTTGCTGTGGCTGCAGCCTCTGGACCCGAGAAAGTTAAAGTGGGCATCCTCTCGGAAGCTTGGAATCGTGTTAGCAAACAGAAGCAAAACCTCTGATTTCAACAAACATGCACATGCAAGTTCATTGAGATGAAACTTCTTAGGGGTGCGACCTTGAAGTTGGAATAAATTTTTAACCTGTAGTCCTTTTGTCCTCTCTATTTGAGATAATGGTTTCATTTGCATTTCAATGAGAGGGAGACTAGCAAAGAGAAGGAGTCAGGATTTGATAAGGGGCAAATTCCTTTCTTGTTTTGTTTTGTTTTGTTTTGTTTAGCAGTGTTGATTAAAGAGCAAACACACTCATCATAGATCATTAATTTGCAAATAGTTATTTGGCAAAGCCAGGAAGTGTCTGAGGACTAGGTTCTGGCTTTGGGTCAGAGGTGGGATTAGGGCTATGGTTGAGATTTAAACCAGAGAAAAGCCTCACTGACAGTGGTGATGGGAGATATGCCCCGAGAAAGCAGGCTGTGGACAGGACAACTGGCTGGCTACACATTGCTGTCACTGGCTAATCCTTCATCATTACTAGCCCAAAGCCTGACGTCCAGTTTTAGCATGTGTTTGGAAGAAAATGTGACCTATGGGTTGAGGGCAGCTGATTTAGCTATGCAACACCCTTTCCTTAGGGGCATTGCAAGAAGTACAGAGAAGCAGGCAAAGAATAAGGAATGATGCTAACTGAAAGGTTATATCCACTGAGAAATTTTGTAAACCTGTCTCTATAGCTGGCTAAGGTCTCTGAGCCATTCCTACACTATCACCTAGGATTCCCTAACTTCCCAGAATTTTCTCACATTCAAAGATTCTTGTCTTGTGACCCCATGAAGTAAACTAAGAGTCTGAGGGCCTGACTTAGCTCCCTGTTGGTCCCCAAATAGCAGTGGGAAACATGGGCCCAGGGCATGACTCCACAGTCTTCAGTCTCCTTGTCTGTAACACATGGCTAGATTAGAATTAGATGTTCTCTAAGCTTCCTCCAATTCTAACATTTTATCCGTCTATGAATCTACAAAAATAGAGGCATCTTTTGATCTCATTTACCCAAAGAGAGAGAGGAAAAAAAAGAAAAGATAGAAGAAGAAAGCAAAGGCTGCAGATTTAACACTGCCAAGTGTTCGGAACATTTTGTGCTTAAAAAAATAAATAAACTTTTCAAATAAATGAAAGAAAAGAGAAAGCAATAGTAGCAGCAGGGATTAAACATCCCCAAAGCCACTGAAGGATTCTCACTTTACACCTTTAGCCACTTGGCCTCACCTTTCTCTTGCATCTCCTTTCCTCTCCTCTCGCCTCTGTCTCACTCTCCCTCCTCCATTGGCCGATCTTAGTGTGATGATGTTTATTTGATTGCTATTACATTTATCATCCCTAGAAAGGTCTGACCTTTATTCACCCCAAAGTGCAGGTTTTAGGAGCCTTTGCTGAGAGTCTAGGAATATTCATGCCACTCAGGTTAGTTACCTTTGATGACAAGAAAAACAACTGCACACGTTTTCATCTGAGTGAACTTGAACAGAAACTATGTTCAGTCTGCAGGATGGATAAGTTCAAGAATAATTTTACCTCTGTCCTCAGTTATCCATTATGTATACACTGAAGTATTTTAATGCTAAGATACAGTAATGGAATATACATCTGATTTTTAAAAATGTCCTGGCTATAGCTAGTAGAGAATTGCCATTCACCAAATATTCTGTGTTTGGCAGAAGTAAACAAACAAACAAGAACAACAAAACCCAATCATCTTATACAAAACCAAGAGGTTACATTTTATTACATTAGTCATTCATTTGCCACTTAATTTATTTTATAAATACATGCCTCTTTTAAGTGTTTTCCATGTTATTCAATACCTTGAGCATTTTTTTTTTAATTTTGAAAATGCATAAGCAAAAGATCTATTGGAGTGTTTTTGTGCTATTTTTGTTAATTCTTGTGTTTCAGAGAGCTCAATGGATATTATACCACTTCAGTTACGTTTATCTTACTGAAGATCAGGTCTCCTTTTTTTAGTTTCTGGGGAAATAGCTTTGATGAAGGACTTTCAGGCTTTTTTATTTTAATAAAACCTTGTGTTTCCTGGGGTGGCAGAATCCACAAGAGATGCCATCCATCTCGGGATGGAGTCAGGCTTGTACTGTATAAATCCTGGGACTGCGGAAACATTTGGGAAAGACGAGGTAAGATTTAACAGGAGGTCTGAATGGAACAGAGGCTGAGAGGCGATGCGAGCTCCACAGTCTCCCTTCCAGAACCTCAACACAGACAAGATCCAGCTGAGCTTGGCACAAGCACCAAGCAATCTGAGGAGCAAGGCTGAGACTCCAAGACTTAGCTGGTTGAATTGTCAGACCCCACTGACCTCCACCCAGAATTGAGTTCACATTGACCTGGGAGAGTAGCTCAGAGCTATTCACAGCCTGCAGACTAGTAGGTTGCCCCTAACAAGAACCTCCGACAGTTGGATATACTCCAAATATCCTTCCCGCTGTCCATTTAGTTAACGGAATTTGAACACACCCACCATAGCAGACACAATTTGCTCCCAAACTGGCCACAAAAATAAAATTAAGTAACATTTCCCCACATTACTGTGACAATGGATAATGAGGCATTCTGGAATGTTCTCTTACCTTCACTGCCACCAAGATCTTGTCCTGCTCAGGACAGAGGTTATAGCATTCAGCTAGGAAAACTTTTCCAAAGGCTCCTTCGCCTAGCTCCCTTTTCAGAACAATGTTATGTCGCTTGATGTGCTGAACAACTGCAAAATAAAGACAGAATGGAAATTGGAATCGAAGCACGCAGAGGTGAAAGCAGAGGGTGGAGCGTCAGGGGCCCGCATCCTGAGCACGCAGGCCCTGATTCTCTCCTCTGAACACAACAAACCAAAGGAGAGGCTCAATGTCCACCCCAAAACAGCTGGGAGACAGTTGCATCGGCTTGCTCTCCAGAGCTCAATTATTGCTTTTAAGAGAACTAAAGTAGTGACCTAGCTGTTGGCTGCAGCATGCTATTAATGAACTTTACAGACTAGGAAAGGGGGGAAATGAGAAAGACATGGATTTTAATGGCGGGCCTCTTATAAGCCAAATGCTTTGCATATATGTGTTACTCATATGTCTAGTGGGAAAAGGCGGAGAGATAGCCAGGAATCCCTAATTCTTTGTTAAGCTGCCTCAGATTCCAGAGGGAGAGAGGCTCAGAGGACACACAAAGAAAATGCAAGAACCACATTGCTAATTAAAGCTTTGTCCTCACCCCAGTTCTAGTCTCCTGGTGAGTGGGCTAAATCATCATTGAATCTCAGTAATTCCCTTTGTTTAGAACAGAAATGTCTAGACCCTGCTGGCACCTTTCCTGGGCCCTTTTTAAGATCATGCCCTAGTCTTGGAAATTCAAAGCCAAGAAGAGACAAACATAGATGAATCTAGGGAAGAGAAAATATTTCTCCCCCGAGTCTAGAGCAGAGCTGGCCCTTGTCACTCATCCGTATGCCTTCCTGGGGAACAAGGCAGGAGGCAGTCAAAGGTCCTTTGAAGCCCGTTCGTTAGTCACAAGGTGGAAAGTAGAGCAAAGCAAAGCTCTGAAGGACAGAGCCAGTGGAGAAGCCCAACAGCAGATTGCGAAGGACAGAATTGCAGTGTGTGCTTGTGCCTCTTCACTTGCATATCAAGTACTGACTCCCCTAGCACAGGGGTACCACCAGGACATTGGCCACCGTTCTTTTCTGAACCCCTGATCTCTGAATGGCAGTATTGAACGGGAACAGTGACTCCTTCTAAAGCTCGGAATGTATAGCCAACAGTGTTCTCTCATTTCGCTCTCACAGTTCTGTGAAGCATTCCTCTCTGCATTTTGGACATGGGGAAACTGAGTCTGCAGGAATTTCAATGATCCACAGTATGGAAAGGAGGAGCTGGGATTTGACCCAGGTCTGTCTGAATCCAAAGTCCATGTTTTTCCTTCTGCACCACAAAGTTTCTCTTCAATTGTAAGTTGTGTTAACCGTGACAAGAGAAATAGAAATATATATGCGTAAGTAATAGAGTAAAAAGTAAAAGCAATCTCCCAGCCTCCTCTGCCAGTTCAAATTCACTCCCTCAGAAAACTTTTCAGGACCACTTTGACCTCCAAAGATCTCCTCTGTAATCACATTATATCATGGCTTGTGCTTAGTTGAATTCTGGCTTATCCCCCAATTATTTCACATCTGTAAACTCCCTGAGGCTAAGAGCAAGCCCTGTTTATCGCCTGTTACCTCATGTGCTGAGCACATAGAAAGGATTTATTACTGTGGTTTAATTTGACAACCTTTCTTTAAAAGTTTTTTTCTTGACTGTAAACTGCATCGCAAAAACAAAAGAAAATGCAAAGCATATCTCTGCAGTTTAAATAATGATAATAAAATAAATACCCATGAACCCAACATTCCATTTAAGAAACAGAACATCATTAATACGCTAGAAGCACTACTGTGTTCTTTCTTGATTGAATCCACTTCCCTACTCACCTCTCAGGGATAACTACTATCCTTCATTTTGTGTCAGTCATTTCCTTTATAGACTGGCTACTAACGAGATATCACTAACGAGATACTATTTGGCTTTGCCTGGTTTCAAACCTACATAAATGGAGCCATACTACATGTATTCTTCCATTTCTTGCATCTTTCGCTTAACAATGTCCTTGAGATTGAGTTATGTTGAGTTACAGTGTGTGTGTTATAGTGATTCTTTTGCTTTTATTACTTTATAATATTCTGTGGAAGGACTATACCACCATTTATGTATCTATTCTATGTTGATGAACATGCTATACAGTTTCTTTTTCGATACAACTTGATATAAAATTCAAGTGGTGATTAAGATTTGGCTTTAATAGGATTTTTTCCCCCTGATAATTCATGGGGTTTGGAGCAATGATGGCTTCCATGGGTCTCTGGGAACTCAGGGTGATAAAAATCAAAAGGTCTTTTATGAGCAACAATATTAATGAATCTAAGGATGTATATTAATTTCTCATGCTCTGGTAGCAATGCCTGGATTTAAGAGGAGAAAAATGTGTTCATTAGGTAGAGTGCCCATATTAAGAGACAAATATAATTCTTGCAGAGGATTAGCTGCCCTATTTAAATCTAATATTTAACCATGGTTGTCACATGTTCACTGGGAATTAAATTGCCACTTGATTTACTTTTACACTCTAACCAGATCAAGGCAAGTATTTAACTTTTTTTTTTTGCACTTGATTTACATTTATTTTTCCAAAAAATTTTCCAAGCAGGAAAAAAAGTTGATGGGAAATAAGTTTTTAAAGCTATAGATAAAGAGATAATTTCATCACCTTCAAAACTAAAATTTGATGAGACTGGTTTTCCCAATTTGACCTTGAAAGTAGTAAATGCGTCTTTTCTTTAATAAATTGCTATTTTGCATTAATTCACTTTGTTGGTTTGGGACATAATATATGAATGGTGGCCTTTGGCCAATGTAGTCCCCTTAAACAGAATGAATTTCTCTTTTGTAAGACTGAAAGTCACTCACTGGCACAGGTAGCAATTTTGTGTTTATATTTTCATTCCTGACAGGGCTTCACAGTGCTTTGCAGGTGGTTGGTGTTATAAAATATCTGTTGAAAAAATGTGCTGAATGATAATAATATTGCAGGTAAATGCTGTTTAATCATATTATTTCTATCAATTGACAACAACCCCTATCAAATATATAGGCGTAAAGCAGCCCAATTCTCCAACATATCAGGTACAGAGAGAACAACTAATCTGGGGAGCACATCATCAAGCTAAGAATTTCTTCCCATTCTCCTCCAAGAGAACATTAGGACTTATCCCCAACCGCCTCATTTCCTGTTTCTTGCAATCGCCACAGGAAGTCCTCTGCATCCTCTTAGGGCATCCCTCCTTAACCAGCCTCTCATCCCAACTTTGCTCATTAGTGCCCCAGTCTGAGTCAATGCTCACCCCCTCACCTCCCTCACAAACCCTTCCATGAGGCCCTCTGGGCTCACTCCCTTGTCATCCATGAGTTCACTATATCTCCAACCTCTCCTTAAACTCCCCATTACTTCCTTAACTCAAATAAAAACTTGGCCATGCCCTGAGGACATCTATGTCTTTCCCCTGCAGCCCTCTCAAATGGAAGCATCCGGACCCCTTTTCCTAGGCATTTCAGGGCCCTTGTACCTGATTTATGGCCATTATTCTCTCTCTCTTCTGCTAGACTCCCAGCTATCGTAAAGCATCTATCTTAGGGAGCCATCTGCCTATACCACCTGTGCCCCCTCATCACTGACATCTTGGTTACTCCTCTCACCTACTGAGCTCCTGGCTCAAACTTCCCCTCTCCACCCTACCAGTGGCATCATTCTCAGAGCCCGAGGCACAGAGAGGTTTAGCAACTTGCCTAAGCTTTAGAAACACTAGGCAGCCATTTATCCTGCATCTTTCAATAGGACAGCTAAGAGGCAAGGCAGTGGGAGGTTTGGTTTGACTGTTTGCATGGCATTAAGGTGACTTTTCCAAGGAGCAAGACTTTCTTAATGTGGGAAGCAATGCACTGATTGACATTCTGGAAAAGCTCTTTATCTCATTGTGGACTAGCATCTTGATTATCACTGTCTTAAAAAGCCCTATGAACATTTGCATTCATTTTATACAAACTCTCCTGAGTGAAGTAAGTTTAAGGATTCCATGATAAATAAGTTATCAAGTAAGCATGAAAGCTTTTTTACATTCTTCTTTTCCCTGAGGTCAGTCAATTTTCTGTTCTTTGGACACTTGATTAAATCACCTCAAACCCAATGTGAATAACTAATTTAAATGTAACAATGGTTAAATTTGTTTTAAAGTTTTATAGAAAAGTTTCTCTTTAAAATTTACCTTGCCAAAAGAAAAGGAGGTATCAATAAGAGGTGTAGGCAATCTAAGAAATACACCAACCTTGTGTAGTCTGCAGACTGATCTATGTTCATTGATAGTGTCAAAACCAAGAATGTAATTAAATTATTGTGCAAATAAATCTACTTTATAAAATCAGGGAGAAATTGATGACCAGCCATAGTAATGGAGATGAGTGGCTGAGAGCTGTCTTGGTATCCTTGTCATTAATGGAACTTTCCAGAGTGGAAATTTGGTGCCTTGGGTCATTTGCTTCATGTGTACTAGAAGTGAGTAGATTTCCGGTTTTGTATTAGTATTACATTACAGCCACTGAAAAATGCATTTTGTCACAAAGTAGCCTTGATAGCTTACAGAGATGCTGGCAGCTTCAGATAGCCTAAATCGAATTCCTATTGATATCTCTCAAAAGTAAATATTCTATATACACACCCACAGGCTATAGATAAAGTATTAATTCATGTCTATGTTGGGTACCACTAAATTGATAGAAAAACAAACACATAAATACAAACTCTACCCACTTACGGTTGAAATAGAAAATGTGTCCTTCCCGTTTCCTCACTAATGAGGTTTCATAGAAAACCTTGGCCCAGGTGACATATGCTGCTCAGCACACAGACCTTAAATTGAGACATTTATTGAGTCTCTCACATATGCCAAGTACTAAGTGATTTTCAGTTCAAAGGAAGTATATTTTGAAGTTTTGAGCAGGAAGGTCAAAAGTAATATACCCCCAAAAGATAATGTCCTGTATTAGGAGCATCTCTGTTTCCCTACAGATCTAAATATAGGGCTCGCTTCATCTCAGGGGACTGGACACTACAATGGAAAGAGAACTTAAAGAT